GGCATTTCCATTTAGTAAAAGATTGAGATTAAAATCAGCAAATCTTTAAATTCTTCAAGATATTCATAATGTATTGGTAGTTACAGGGCTGGTGCTAGGGTCTTCCCCCTCCCCACTCAACTTTGATATAGAGCTCTCTCTCTACTACATGTTGATTTCAAATATTCCAACCTGGGAGACACAGAGCCTCAAAGGAAAATGAGTGGGTGAGAGGTGGGGATCAGTGTTTTTTTAAATTACCAAAAATCAGAGAATTATCCAATTTAAATAAAAATTTCAGTACATATTTGTTGTATACTGTAGTTTGAACATAGCTCACCAGTGAGCAAGCACCGACAATTCCATTTTTAAATGAGTAGATCACATGATCGCAAATGAAATGTACAAATGAGAATTAGTATGATGTCTAAGTGATTGTTATTCTCTATACTGATCATTATATGAATTACTATTTGGGGATTACTATATGAACAAGTATTACTAGTGCAAGTATTATCTGAAGCCGTTACTACTACCAGTACCTGCGTTAGAAAGTTTTGTTAATAATGTGCATTTCGGAAGTGATAACGAGCATTTGTTGACCTAATGGAAGTTACAATGAGTGAGTATCTAACATCACAGAAATATTCATTAATTATTTACTTTTATAATGAATAAGTAATTTTATTTTATAAAAATCCAAGAAAATGTTATTCTTTTTGTAATAACCACCAATATTTTTAGAACAAAATTTTACTCGAAAAAATGTTTAAGTCGCATATTTTTACATTTTCTTAAAGATTAATTGCCAAGGTATCACCGTTGGGAAAAAAAAGTTTTACAAAGATTCCAACACAAACAGGATTATCTTAAAAACTTGTTTTAAAAACAGTATTTCATGTTTTGTAAAAATTTTTCATGTGTTGAAATCTCTAAACATTTTTATTTTTTAAGTGATCATTTTCTTGGTTTTATCTTTCTAGAAACATAAAAAAAATATGGACTAGAAATTTTATTTTAATCACTAGCCATGGACTTCTGGTAAGTATTACTATTAGTAAAAAAAAAAAAAATCAGAGATCTTCCTTAGTGGATGATCACAGAATAAAAAATGATTTTACAAAGATATGTTATCCTCTTAATTGATTTGAAAGAACTGCTAAAAAAGAAAATTACAATTTCCAAAAATAAGTGCTACTGAAATTCGCACTTCTTCTCCTCCTCCTCCTCCTCCCCAGTAGGCATGGGACCCCCACATGGTTGAAAAGTTCAGGGTAGTAAGCACTGGTCCTGTTGATTATTGTAGTTAATGATTGACAATATAACTTAGGTAGAAAAAAAGTAAAATGTACAAGAAGCAAAAAAAACAACAAAAAAAAAACCACTGCTGAAACTAGCCCATTTGGGGCCTCAAAAAACACGGCCCCCTCAGTGGTGGGGGGTAAGATGCACTGGTCTCAAGTAGTTAGGAATTCTTTAGTTTTGACAGCCAATGGCACTGTGTGATAATTTTTCATATTGAAAAACAATGCAATGCCTCCTGTAAGCATGCATCTTAAAATATCAAACTTTATTATAGATATTGTATTGGCAGTGGCAATAAAGACTTTCATTTTCCTCTTTTTACCTCCATCATCATGTTCCTCATTACACCTACTAATGTTTTGCTTTTACTTGTAACAGTTGCACAAGCTCCCCCAGTCTCTGGATTAGAGCCACGAGTTTTCATTTTGTATTTGCAACCATTTTGTAGGTATATAGTCTTTCAACATTGCCCTCAATTGTTAAAGGTAGTTTAAACTAGGGATCTTTGAACAGTTGCTCATTAATCTTCATTCTGTTGGGCATAAATCATGTGACTTGATTAGCCAAAAAAATTAATCCATGGATTTGTTATGCAGGGGTTCTTACTGTAGACATTTGAGAAAATGTGAAAAATGGGATTTTGTGAGGACCTTCATGACAAAGTGGTTGTTAACAAGCTAGTTTATCCTTTTCAAAAACATGAAAGAGCTTTATTTTTACATTCCTTGTTATATAATCTATATAGAGTACTTAAAACACTATCACTTCAAAAACGATAAAAATTTCATAAAACACAAAAGTTATTAAACTTATAGTCTTAAAGTCATAAAAATATTTTAAAGCCTATTTTAGAATTTTAGTAAGTTATACACTGTTAGCAAATAGTGATTCTGACAATAAAAGCAGTGGTGGATTTTTGTAAAACTTGACACTCACAGTATATAACAAATATATATTCAATCTTCATACTGAACATGAGAAAAATGTCTTAGAAACCAAAACAAATCAACCAATAAAAGACAAAAGACCAGAAACTTGTTTGTATTTATTTTTATTTCATTAAATATGTTCATATATTCAGAAAATAACCAGCCAAATCACTTTTCTTGTCACTGATTATATAAATTGTTCTGAATCCTAAATCAATGAATTAATTTTTTTTATCAATTTTCTTTCACTTTAATGAAAGCAACTCACCATTTTCTACTTTGTGCCACACTGCAAAATATATAAACCATCTCTGACAATAAGAATCTTCAGCTTCATTAAAGACAGATATGAAGTATATGCACTGCCCAAAATAATTTAAAAAATGTACTAAAGATTTAAGTTTAAATATTCCCAGGCCAGGAAGCTAGTAAACTGGAGACATGATAAATGATAGAGTAAAGATCATACAGCTAAGAAAGTGCTGCAGTAAGCTGGGTCATTTATAATCTCTAAAACTTTTCAGGCTTAAATTTCTATAGGAATCTTACTTTTCACCAATGTAGTTATTTCACATGTCATTAATGATGCTAAAAGTCTTCACACATTGTCAGAAATTTTAAAAAAAGGCTCTTTTTGCAATAACGGAGCATCTAGAAAATAAGCAAGTGATTCCTTCTTAAAAGTGAATCTATACAATAAGCATTGGTTAGGACAAGAACAGATAAAATCCTTTTATATGAGAGAAACTTTCATCTAATTCTATCTTTGTTTAGTTTCTCCCTATTTCATTCCCACTGCATTGATTTCTTCTTCCCATTTTGTAATCCTGCTTTTTATAAAGTTTAAAATCTTTCTATGATTTTCTATTTATTATATATGCCTCTTAAAATCTTTAGGTCATTATGAACTTCACTGGGATAGAATGCTTCTTCTCACTAATACTGAGTTTTGATAAATGAGTTTTTAGGAGTGAAGAGTTCAGTTTTCTGTTATCCATCAAAAGCCATTCAAAATATTTTTCAAGATTATATGCATTGTCCAACCAACATAAAGCTTACTCTGCATTTTGAAGATCAAATAACAAGACAACCTGATTGGTTGACTATTTCAAAAAGGCACAACTTAATTGGTTGATTGCAGTTTAATCAAAATGAATTTATTTGAATTAGCTTTTAGTGTCTGAAAATGGAAAAACTGTGATTCATACCCTTAAAAAATTGTTTTATCATCTTTAAAGAAGATAAATGGGAAGACATAAACCAGTAAATTTAATATTCCTTTTTTAAATATTTTTTAAAAACAAACTTCTTGGATATGTTATAGATCTTTAAATTATTTTTTTAAATATATTTTTGCTTTCTTATGCATAGATATTCCTCAAATATATTTGGTGAATCCAAAAGCATAAATCTGTTTTGTCTTAATGCACAGATCTCAATTTTAAAATTCCCAGAAAAGAAATGGCAGAAAGAAAAAGGCTGAAATGTAATTTAAAAGTGCTATTAAAGATAATTTTTTGCTGACAGGAATTCTGCATAGCATTTGTAGTAGCAGGGAAAAGGAAAAAATGTTACCATTATAAGGCACAATATGCTTAGAAGCAAGAATAAGGCAGGAACTTTTTCTGTTTTTAAATCTGCCAGTTGAAGACATAGTTTCATTGGTCAAGATTACTGGCATCAAACTTTACTATTTAAGAAGAAAAAAGTAAAGATAATTATTTTTTCTTTCTATCAAATATTTCAATATATACATCATAGTTATAAGAAGTATTAGAAGAAAAATTAGAAAGATATAATTTTTTTTTTTAACTAAAATCAATTTAGATTCAGAAACTCTTCAAACTAATCTTTTCAGCTTTGTAATGAGTGTTTTCTTTTTTTTTAAATGAAGACTTTCTTTCACATACAAATTTTTCAAACATTTACACTTCTTAAAATTAAGCATTCACTTGAACACATTTTAAACATCTTCAAATGTTAACCTTTCTTTTACATACAATATTCATAACACTCACACTGATATTTTTTAATAAATAACCCATCTCTCTTGATGACCATAAAAGCATTTTTTGCCTTCTCACATTCATATCACATCACTCATCAAACAGCAAAACATAGTTACCTCCTTTTTTTCCACTTTATCAAGAATATGATATTCGCAAATCTATACTAATTATTTAAATATTGTCTAATAACCATTTAACACCACCTGAAATTAATATTCCAGACGATAGTGGTTGTACATGACAAAAATATATAAAACATAGTAATTCTTCACTATTTCTATAGTCGAATGCTGGTGAATTTATTACACAATAAAACAATATATTTAAAAAAAAAATAAAAGATTCCTAACCTAAACCTTACTGAGAAAAACAAAACAAAGATGATTAGATCAGTTCAAAAAATACCCTAAATGTTAAAACAGATACTTTAAAATCAATTTTGTAAAGAAAATTTTTCATGTTTTTCTGCACAGGGCAGAATAGTTTTCTTTTAGAATTGTTTTCACAGGTTAAAAAATTATTCCTTTTAATAATGATGTCGGAGGTATTCTGTCAGAGGTGTTTCTTCCCATTGAAAATAGAAACTAACATTAAAGTTAATGAGATCTCATTATCGCAATAAGCAAGACATTAAAGATTTTATAATTCTTGGAATAAAGAGTCTTGTAACAAATCTGATTGACTAACAACAGAAGTTAGTCAACATAGATGTTTTGTGAGATCTACACATTTTTATATATGTGTTAATATTGAACAAAAATATGGAACGCCACATTCCTCAGCACTCGCTTCCTTTATTCTTTCTTCCCAATGGAAATGTAGATTTACCTGAAGAATTGAATGAAAACAAAAGTAATTTGGGTTCTTTAACCATTGGCAATGTAAAAATATATAAGATTTCATATTAATCTATGACAGAAAAATACATATGAAAGGGAAAGTGACAGATATAGAGACAAATACATCCAACAAAAATAGATACATACTTTATAAAACATTTTAATAAACATCATCTGCAATAACTTCAATAATAATGTAATGCCTAATTTTTACTAGTAATTTTTTCTTTATCAGATAATTATTAAATTTAAGAAAATAAATATAGAAATGTGTGTATGTGTGTGTATAAGTCAATAGTTGGATTCAAAGGCCATTTGTGCAGTCACATGCACATTGAAAAAAAGCCAACCTTTTGGTAGTTATCTATGTACAAGTGAGCAGCCATCATATGTGTGTGTACACCCACTGGTTAATAGCTAGTATGTTAATTTTTTTGAATTTAATACCATAATTTTATAATCAAGTATATATCTTTTTGTCTTCTATTGTCCATTTTTTTGAAGCAAAGAAGATTTTACTGGGTGATAAATTGATTGATTAGTTTTTATGGCTTATCAACCTTTTTCATGTTATTTAAAGCCAGAAAATATTTTTACACTGTAACAATGTTTTTCAGATAATGATTTACTAATACAAATCCTACTAATTAACCAATAGTTGGAAGGAGAAGAGGTGAATTCATCTTTCCTAAGTGTATATGCACGTAAGTGAATATAATGACTAGAATTAGAACTTGGTGCTCCAATTTCCAATCCATTGTCCATTACATTATGCACACATCCAAACTTATAGCACTTGGTATTCCCAAGCAGTTACCCATCTAAATATTGACCATGTTTGACATTGCTTAACTTTGGTAATTATACAAGAACTGGTGCTTCAACTATGCCCATAAGCCTACTGAGTGATAAAGTATACAAAGATAATCCAAAACTTTATGTTCCCCTTATGTGCTATACTTCTCTACAATTGCAAATGATGCAAAAATTTGAAATTAAATTGCAAATTAAAGTAACTTGTGATAAAAATCAAGTAAGATAAATATAATAGTAAAAGAAATGGTGCTTTTCAGTTATTTGAAATTATTTGGAGGGAGGGAGATACTGTGGCTGTTCCACAATCACATGAATTTAAAATAGAAAATGTATTAATATTTTGATATGATAGACTTTTGGCAAAGTTATTAGATTTTAAATTTATGGATTTGTGTGCATTGTAAATAAACAATCACAAATTTAAAAAAAGAATTTTTCTAGGAAATAATGATCCTAAAAATAGTTTATAAAATCAAAAAAAAAAAAAGAAGAAATTCTCATTTATGCTCATGACCCCACTGAATTTTTACATGAACCCCACTTTGTGAAGACTCAATTTGAACCGGTATCCTTAAAAAAGGAAAATAATAGATTTAATATAAGCTAAGCTTCAGGACTGATTGGCTGAAAAATTGTAATAAAAACAACAAAAGAAAATATTTGTATGAATAATCTATGGAATATTTTATCTTACATTTCCTAATATATAGAAGACATGTAAAAGTTGATTGCACAAAAATAAATTTTACTTACTTGGAGGTTGAGTTATACGTGAGGTCAGCCATACAAAAGGTTCTTGAAGAGACTGTCGATTAGTAACAGAAACTTCCCAAAGTTTAACTAAAATACAAAATTATAAACAAAATAACAGGTGAAATCCACCAAAATTTTACAAGTAAAAATATGTTTTTCAGATGTTAACATTTACAAAGAATAATTTCAAGATATTTATAATTTTTCAACAATAAGAAAAGTATTCATGCCTATTTAAAGAAAAGTTACAGACTTGGAAATGAAGAATATAATTGTTTTATATAAAATCAAATGAAGTTTTAAAATTTAATTTAGCCACTTTAAAACAGATGGTAAAATGTCTTGCAAGAAATTTCTTTGTTTTCAGCATTCCTTTTCTGGCAGTGAATCTAATAGTGTTGTAAGACAATGAAGCAATGATCATTCTAAAACAGATGACAAAATATTTTTCTATGATACCACAACAAAAATAGTCTGGTCCCAAGTGGTTAACCAAATTTTACAAAGTAACTGGTTTTAAATGAATGAGTATGTTTTTTTTTCAAATTCAGTTATCAATTTATTCAGTGTTGATATAAAAATAACTACTTTATTTTAAACAAATTAAATGGTTTTTGAAAACTGTAAAAACAATAATTGTAAAGTACTTAATTATTTTTCATCACCTATATACAAAAAATGTTACCATAAAATTATGAAAAATAATAACCAGCAATTATAATTATGAAACTTGGCCTTTTCCACTGCTTGTTTAAGAATGAACTTTATTCAAAATTTTTGCTTTCCAATTTATTAGAAAAAGAAAATAAAAAATATACAAATTTTACCCTTTTAATGACAAAAGAAAAGTATAACTTGCTGGAAAAAAAATGATAAAATCTTAAAGTAAGTTTTTAGTTTACACATACATTTTTAGGGTTAGAGCATTTGCAATATGAACCAAGTAGGATTTTTTGGCTTATTTTCTTGAGAATGCACATATCTGTAGTTTTATTAGAAACATGTCAATTTAATCAAACTATTTCAAATTATTGCCATTATTTTGGAATTGTTACTCATGAGACATGAGATAGTAGATTAAAAATTTTAATCCCAAAATAGTTTAGATTTAAACAAAAACTAAATGCAAAAAATTAAAATAGAAAATGTAATCTCAAACTGTTCTCATTTACTGACCCATATTCTATAACCCTAAGCTAAACTCTGGGAATCAATTCAGAGAATCACAATTGAAACAAAAAAACAAATTATTTTTAAAAACAAAAAATCTCTTTATAACTAATACATCCTTGAGAAAAATATTTAAAAAATAAAAAAATTAGTGGTCACTCAGTTTCAGTTCATTGCAGAAAAAAGCTTTCATTTCTTTAAGAGAATCAGTTCCTATTTTTACACAGAGCAATGCAGTGATAACATTACACTCTCCAACACACAAACCAAGTTTCTAATCTTGAGCCAAATTTACAGTCTAGAACTTTTTTGTTTGCGATTAGCTTCTGTTCTTAGCAAAAAGAAAACAATTCAGAGAACACCTATACCCACTTTTTTCTTCAAAAACTTACACAAGACATCACTAGTGAATCAGCTAATGAATAATTACATTAAGTCTATGAAGAAAACTAGGTTAGTTTATTTGCATGTGATCATTGTGCAGCAATTAATGTTACCTCTCTGGTCTTCTAATCAAGGCATTGGCAGAAACTTTTGCTAGTGTATATGCGTACATGTGTGTGTGTTTGTGTGTGTATATATATATATATATATATATATATATATATATATGTATAAATAAACAAAAAATAATATAATTGAAAAGATCATCAAAATTTAGTTCACATGCATTATTTGACCAGATTGAAATCAGTTAAAATATAGTCAAATGCTTGAAAATAAAATATAGATACCTTTTTCTCTGGTTGCCCACAACTGAGCAGTGTTGAAATCAACCTGGCGACAATCATGAAGTTCTGTTTTATTTCCAATTGCAATTATATAGACCTGGAAAAAAGAAAAGAAATAATTTGATATAGATGAAAAATCTAACAAAAAACATTCAATACAATTGTGACATCAATACTTTTTATCATGTTCTATAATTGTATAAAGATTTTTTTTCTTTATCACCACAATTTTTCAAGTTACAAGAAAATAATATCTTGATAAAAATTTTATTTTTACATATATTATTATATCCTTATGCAAGCAAAATTTCTAACCACACATTTTACATTGAGCAAACCATCTCTCTTTCTACCTATAATATAGTATATCTACTCATCCTCTCTCTTTCAATCTGTAATAGTAGTCACTGACTACAAGAATAATTAGGTCAGACAGTCTGATGACCTTGCAACAGGTCCAAATGAGATCTAAAAATAACTTTTTACACTCATGTAGAATCATGTGATCAAGTATGAGTGGGAAAATAACAAAAAGAATTAATGGAATCTGAGTCTTGAGCGAGTAACAACTCTTTTTATTTGTTACTGTCAAGCAAAGGAAATCGCACAATGAAGATGAGTTCCAATTCAACTCAACACACTATACTTCATATATCAAATGCACAGGTGAATTACTAAGCGCAATAATCACCTAAAACAGGCATGTGTGATCCACTCATTTGGATACAGGCTAAGATTTACTCAGCGTGAATCTTCCTACCCAAATGATGAACTCTATATTACTGAATATGTGAAGAGACTAAATGACCAACTCTTGGGGGTCAAAACTCATAACAATGAACAAAGAATAATATATCAAAAGATATCACTGCAAGAATGAAATGAATTGAACTGAAAGTAAAAAAAGAACAAAAGAGAAATATAAAACAAAAGAGAGAAAAGTTGTTATAATTAAATCATATATATATCGACATTTGTTGTTTGCTACTGTTGATTGTTTCTCCTTATCTGTGTATTTGAACCTGTAAGAGAATTCTTCCACTATGGAGTAGTAAACTTTGGTCATCTCCTTTGACAAACATTTGTTTTTTTATCTTTTCTTTTTAAATTTTATGTTGCAGCAATTGGTCTTTAACATAAATTAGGTGTTTGTCTGGAATTCTCTATCAGCAAAAATACACATGGAGGCCAACAGCGACAAACAAACAATAAAATAAGATGGCAGTTGTAGATGCTTTTCTGAGAGAATCATCTCTAGAACAGCTAAAAAAATTGCAAAAAGACAATGTGCTAGAAATAGGGAAACACTTAGAATTAGATGTTAGAAAGTTGATGAGAAAAGCAAGCTTAGTGAAAGTAATAGCTGAGCATATTGTCAATAACGACATATTTGAAGATGAAATACTAAATCAATTATTGGTAGATGTGCAGGAAATGTCACAAGCCCAATTTGAGCTAGAAAAGGTCAAAATAGACACTAGGACAGAATTAGAAAAGCCATGTACCGAAATAGAAAAGGCAATTATCGAACAGGAAATCAGAAGCAAAGAATTAGAGATTGGTAGACAGGATAGTGAGGTAAGGCAGCAAGGGTTTGACTTTACAAAACAAATTAGGCTAGAATCTAAATTCCAGGAAGATGAAGTAGACAACTACTTCTCACATTTCAAGAAGACAGCAATGAATTCAAACTGGCCAAGGAGTGCCTGGCCAATGTTATTAGTCTTAAGCTGGAACGACCAAAAGATGTATGCATCTCTTTTGGTGGAAGACAAGCATGGACTATGATTTAGTAAGGTCAGCGATCCTAAAAGATTATGAGCTTGTTCCTGAGGCATATTGCCAAAAATTTAGAAATCACAGAAAATTAGAATCCTAAACTTATGTGGAATTTTTAAGACAGAAATAAACCTACTTCAATCTATGGAATACAGTGAAGAATATTAAAAATGAATATGAAAATTAAAGCAGTTAATACTGACTGAAGAGTTCAAGAATTGTATAGCTGAGGAGGTTAAAATTCATATAGATGAAGGAAAGTGTTATACTAGATCATACCTATTCTATTGTAAATAGACTCTCCCACAGATAATAAGTACTAGTAGTAGCAGTCCCCAGTGAGAATACGACTGATTTTTTCGTCACTAAGTTGACGTCTTGTCTTTTGAAAAACTTTTCCAAGTTTTTTTTTTTTTAAATGTGAATCCGAGATGTTGTCACTGAAAATTGTGAGTGAGTTGTGTGAGTCGGTCGATGTCGGCCATTAAAGTATGAGCCCCACAACTAGATTGCTGCGTCATTAACTGTTATTTCAAGTTCCTAACGTTTTGTACGTCAAACCTAATTTAGGACCGACTTAGTGAAATACAAGCTTCCACTGTGAAAATTACTCTACAACACATTTGGCGTCAAGGGATTCGTTTCTCATACAGAAAAAAAAAATTTAAAGAAAAAAAAAATTGTTTCGCCATATACAACACTTGGCGACGAACGTATTTTGGATTCATATGGAAAAAAAAACTTTGCGTTCACTCTACAACACTTGTTGACGTGGATTCGTAACTCATTACAGAAGAGAAAGAAAAAAATCACCCTTCATAACAGATGTGCCGTATGAGGGATTGGGTTTCATACAGTGAAAAAAAAAAAATTTCGCTCGCCATGTTATTTAGTGACGAAATTCGTTTTTCATACGGAGGAAAAAGAAAAAAAAATTTTGCTCGTCAAATTTTTGGTGACAACATCTTGGATTCACATTTAAAAAAAAAAAAACTTGGAAAAGTTTTTCGAAAGACAAGACGTCAACTTAGTGACGAAAAAATCAGTCGTATTCTCAACTGAGAAAAGAATTTTTTTTTTCTCGATAAGACAGTTTGCTCAAATAGGTCACGAATTACAAATTCGTTTGGACCCCCCTCTACAATATTTAAGGATTGTGTAAACTTTTTTGCAAAGATGGAGGAATGCAAAAATATATTCCAGGAATTTTTTTAAGTTCCAGATGAACAATAATAACAATATTAGAGCAACAGAAAATGTTCCAGATGCAACTACAGGAGGAAACTTTTAATAGACAGATTCAATTTCAACAAGAAATGGAACTGATGCATAAGGAGTTTCAAAACAAAATTCTGGAAATAACTGAGAAGAGGAAAGAGAAAAATCTACAAAATGTTTCTTTTCCAGAGAATACAATATGGAATTCGATTGAAATATTCACGTACAGTCCAGACGAAGAGATAACTTTTGAAGAGTATTATAAAAAATATACGGATGTGTATAACAAGGACTGCCACACATGGTCTGAAGGAAAGAAGGTTAGACTTCTTTTTAAGTAAGTTAGGAACTGCTGAGCATAACAAATTGGTAAACTACATTTTACGAAAAAAAAACTAGCGAAGTTGACTTTTTACCGAGGCGGTAAATATATTAAGTGAATTATTTAGTAAAAAGACATCTTTGTTTCACAAGAGGTGGAAATGTTTGAATCTGATGAAAGATGAAGAACAAGACTATATAACGTATGCAGCCAATGTGAACAGGCATTGTGAAGAATTCAAGCTAGCAGAGTTAAGCGCTGACAACTTTAAATGCTTAGTGTTTGTTCAAGGACTGGTATCAGAAAGTGACGCAGAATTGAGGAAATTGGTATTATCAAAATTGGAAAACCAACAAAGTCTTACGATACAGAGTTTGGCAGAAGACTGCACAAGATATGTTAGCATAAAGAAAGACTCAAAAAAGATAGAACAGTCTGGCGTTTCGCATGTAAGAAAAATACGCTACAAAAAAGAAAGTCAGTCTACCAAAAAGAATTCTAAAATTGCGGATTATCAAACAAAAAGTGAAATACCAGAAAAAATAAACAAAAACTCCCAAAGCCATGTTTTGCTTGCGGTGAACTACACTGGTACAGATATTGCAATTTTAGGAATAAAAAATGTTTCAACTGTGAAAGAGTGGGTCATAAAAGCTCGCACTGCAGGTCAAAAAAATAAAAGATAATAAAGTAAGAAAATTAAAGTCCGATGAAGTGAACGACGGAATAACCAGAAAATTTGTTACCCGTCGAAATAAGTAATAAAAAAAATAAAAATGCAACTCGACAATGGTTCAAACCTATCTATCATAAATCTGAATACGTGGAAGAAGTTGGAAACCAACTTTAATAAAAAAACAAATAAAATGTGCAAAGGTAAGTGACGGGAGAAAAAATACAATTTATTGGAGAATTTGTTACAAACGTCACGTTAAATAAAAAAACATGAAAAGCAAAACTATTTGTCATAGAAAATACCACGAACTTACTTGGTACGGATTGGATAACAGAATTTCAATTATGGGATTTACCGATAAATTCTTTCTGTTACAAGGTAGATTTTTTAAACTATGAAGCCCAAAAATTAGTAAAAAAAACTTAAGGGAACTTTTCCTACTGTTTTTTCTCCAGGTTTGGGAACGTGTACCAAGATGGAGGCAAAATTACAGCCAAAACAAAACGCTCAGGTGATATTCAAAAAGAAACGGAATGTGCTGTTTGCTTCAATTGAACAGATTAGAGAAAACCGGTGTATTTAAAAAAGATGAGTGGGTAACACCGACAATATACATAAAAAACAAGCTCCAGAAAGTAAAAATGAACCCGACACCGAAAAAAACTGGGGAACGAGTTACCCACAGCCAAGGACATGCAGTATTATTAAATGATTTAAGTCAACAAGAAGAACCTACAGAAACTGTGAGTCCATCTTTAAGAAGTTCAAAGTGGAAGGTTGTGAGTTGTGTGAGTCGGTCGATGTCGGACATTAAAGTATGAGTCCCACAACTAGATTGCTGCGTCATTAACTATTATTTCAAGTTCCTAACATTTTGTACGTCAAACCTAATTTAGGACCGACTTAGTGAAATACAAGCTTCCACTGTGAAAATTACTCTACAACAGAAAGACAGAAACTGCTTATCAGTTAGCAGTATTAGTGAATGAATATGATAACTCACAGGAAGAGCAAAGGGAAACCTAACTTAGGAACCCAGGCTCCTAGTAAAGTGAAACATGAGTGATGAAAAAGGCAGGAATATACAATTAGAGACCAACCAACAATCGGGTGGGAGAGTAAACCGATGACATGCCATTACTGTTGGAAGATAGGGCACAGTATAGGAAACTGTTGAACTTAGCAAAACAATGAATTAAATAGCTCAGTACTTAATAAACTGCATGGAATCATATCTGCAAATAAAATAATAAACATATATAAACCCTTCATATCCAAGGGATATATTTCTTTGGTAAATGATTCTAGGAGGTGAAGGCCAATCCGAATTTTAAGGGATACTGGTGTGTCATAATAAATTCTATTACAAAAGTATTTACCAGGAGAATTAAAGTCAGTCACTGTAGATGAATAAACACTAGAAGAGTTGGAGACAAAACTGTGAGAATCCCTCTATATAAAGTTAACCTAGAATTAAATTTAATATTATGACCAGTTACTGTGGATGCAGTAAGCAAACTTCCCATAAATGGAGTGGAAATGCTGTTAGAAAACGATATGGCAGGTAGAAAAGTGATGATCTCTTCCCCAACCAAACCAAGAAAACCAGAAAAATTTCCATAAAAAGCTTAGAACATCTAATGCAATATCGGGCGCAGTGACTCATATCCAAGCAAGATTGATAAATAGTGAGATGGAAGATGGTCAAATAGATCTGTCCCAAACATTTATGAACTGTAATTCTAGTTTACCAGAGTTGAATAGAATTAGAGAGAGAAGTGCTGGGAGTGATGAAAATGTTGAGGAGGTAGCTGATCACTGAACAAGAGTCTGACTCTGATCTAATGCAACTCTTTAGTCGAGAGCAGAGGATAATACAGATAATATATCAAATTCCTATTATATAAAAAATGATGTATTAATGGGAACATGAAAACCATCTCAGATTCCAAATTCTGAAGACTGGGCAACTTGTGAACAAATTGTCATTCCAAGAGCATATCGGCACAGTATATTAAAAACAATTCACAAAATTCCATTAGGAGGACACTTAGGAATTAATAAGGCCTGCAAAAAAATTTTCAGGCATTTTTAGGTGCAGTCAAGAAGGACATAGTGAAATTTTGCAAAACTTGTCATGTATGTCAAATGGCAGAAAACCAAATGAAAAAAATCCCAGTTGCACTCCTATACTCTATTCCAGTTTTTGAAGACTCCTTCAGTCACAATAATAGTAGATTGCATAGGTCCATTACAGAGGATCAATTCAGATAATAAGTACTTGTTGACCATCATATGTGCATCATCAAGATTTCTCAAGGCTATCCCATTGCGGAATATTTCAACCAAAAAAGTAGCGAAAGCTCTCACTAATTTCTTTACTATGGTGGGTCTACCTAAGGTAATACAGTCAGACCAAGGATCCAATTTCATGTCAAAGTTATTTCAGCAAGTGGTCAAGCAATTGGGCATCACTTCTGTAAAAGTGAGTGCTTATCATCCACAATCACAGAGAGCACTGGAGAGATTCCATTCAACCCTAAAGAATATGATGAGGATTTATTGTTTAGATAACATGAAAGAATGGGACAAGGTCATTCCATTCCTAATGTTTGCAGCTTGTGAATCAGTACAGGTACCCTAGGTTTTAGTTGGTTTGTGAATCAGTACAGGTACTCTAGGTTTTAGTTGGTTTGAACTTGTATTTGAAGATTCAGTATGAAGTCCATTGCAATTGATAAAGGAAAAGTGATTACAAGATGACCTAAGCAGGAAGCATCTATTAGATTATATAGAACAATACAGAAAATTAATATCTGAAGCAAATATGTTAGCTAGAGCGCACCTCAGAAATGTTTAAGGCAAAATGAAAGATTATTATAATAAGAAAACAGCTGAGTGAAAATTCAAGATGAGAGACAAAGTTCTATTACTCACGAATAACCATCCTCTTAACGCTTAATTTCAAGGCCCATACAAAATTAGGAGAAATATAAGTGAACTCAACAATATAGTGGATACACCTAATCATAAAAAGAAGATTATTTGCTATCTAAGAATCTTGTGAGGACAGGCACAGTAGGAGAAAAAGAGAATTATACATAGACCAAGATCTTTCACAGAATTCTGAGATATTAGCCAACCTCAATAGCAAATCAGGACATTTGCCAGACACCAAGAAGGATGAGTTAACCGCCTTTGTCTCGGATTACGAGTGTTTATTTTCTAACTTACCTAGTTAGATGAATATGGCATCTCATGTTGTAGAAAATGCTAAACCAATAAAGCAACATCCATATTGGTTGAATTACAAGAAAGTGAAGCTCATGTTGGATGAAATACAATATATGTTAAGGAATGGAATTATTGAACCAAAGCAAAGTGAATGCCATGTATATTGGTAGAAAAACCCATCAGGTCAATGAGATTTTGTACGGATTGTGGAAAGGTAAATAAGCTTACCAAAACCGATTCCTATCCCATTCCTAGAATGGATGATTGTATAGACAAAATTGTAAAAGCTAAATATATCACAAAGTGCAATCTTTTAAAAGGTTATTGAGTTGTACCTTGAATTGACAGGGCTAAACAGATTTCAGCTTTTGTAACACCCAGTGGAAGTTATCAATATTATGTGATGCTTTTTGGCATGAAGAATTCACAAGCAACCTTCATAAGATTAATGAATCAGGGCTTAGGGGATATACAAGGAGTAGACACATATATAAACAACACTGTAACATATAGTGATACTTGGGAAGAACACCTCTTAACTTTGAGGAAGGTCTTTGACAGGCTTAAATTAGTGAATCTTACCATTAATTTAATGAAAAGTGATTTTTGCCAAGCAGAGATAACCTATCTAGGACATGTTGTGGGGCATGGGAAATGTATCCGCTTAGTGCTAAGGTTCAAGATATCATGAGATATCCAATCCCTGATAGTGTAAAAGGATTACAAAGATTTTCGGATATGGCAGAATATTACTGCAAATTCTGTAGAAATTTTCCCAAAATTTCTTCCCCACTGATTGATTTGTTGTAGAAAAAGGTTAAGTTTATATGGACTTTGAAAGGTCAGGAAGCCTTTGATAAAATCAAAGATTTGTTAAGTACAAATCTTGTGCTTAAAGCTCCTCGATTTTAATCATCCATTCATTATCACAGTTGATGTAAGCAACTTAGGAATTGCATCTGGTTAGTTACTACTCTCGAAAATTTAATAATCATCAGAAAGCTTATTCTACAATAGTAAAAGAGGCCCTTCTCAGTTTACTATAAAAATGCAACAGCTAACTCCAGAAACACTTCAGTTTTGTATTTCAGGAGCACATTGTAAGATTTCAAAAGGAGACAGATTGTTGGTCAGATTAACCAGATAGTGGAAAGAGTTAGTAACATCAAAATTGGAAATTCTATTTTCAACTATGAACCATGTGATCATTGAAATCATTTGTGGAAGTAAAGTAAACCACTAATTCTTATTCAGATCAATCTGAACTATCCCAAAATCATTTTGCTTAATGAAATAAGAAATGAAAAAAAAAGGCACGGCATATAAGAGTGTCTACATTAACCCAAGAATGGGTTATTATGATAGAGCAGCCAGAAGAAAGTTACCAACTGACATTCAGCAAAGAAAGTAATGGCTAACTGGATGGATAGATCTTCGTCAATTTTACATAATATTATCTTTTCACATTTCCCCAATTTTTAAACAGTGAACAAGCAAGGTCTGGATATTGCCAAGCCAATAATTTTATCTGAACAACTGGGACATATCAAACATGGTGGATTATCTTTTATGGTGTGAGGAACAATTTATAGCACAAATTGTTCAAATTTTCTGAAGTGCATGATAATATATCTAGAAAAATATATATTCATTCAGCCAGGACTTCTTCACTAAAACAATGAATGAAGCTCCTTGTCATGCAGAAAAACCTCAGGAATAGCAGGAACTTGGAATAATATTAAAGAAAGAAAACTTACTTCTTTTTTATCTCGATACTTGTCAATATCTTTTTTCAGTTTGTCCAAACGCTGAAATGATTCCCAGTTGGTCACATCATACGCCAACACAAAACCCTGAAAATGTTATCAATATTTTTCAACAATTCAGAAAGATTGCGGATATAAGAATAATAAAAGGTTTCATTTAATTTTTATCAAAAATTTTAATTCATTTTTTATAAACGTTTTAGAAGAAAAGAGCAACTCACATCTGGAAATGTAAGATAATGTTTTGGAAGATCAGGTTTGGTACAGTCCTAAAAACAAAGTGAAGAAAAGGCTTCATCACAATACAGTAAAATCAAACTCACATTAAACCAAGAATATAAACATTTATTGTATTTAATACATGCAAAAATACTATGCTGATGATTCTTAACACTTTGTGAAATTCAAACATTTTTGTAATTGACATATTATGTGAGATCCAAAAGCTAGGATGAAATGACTATTACCCAGATTTTAAATAATCATTTTTTAAAATTTACATTTTGGCTAAAAGTATGGCCATCTACCAAGTATTTATAGTTAGAAGCAACAAAAAAATGTATTATTTTTCTAAATATCTGAAATAGATTTTACTGGGGAAATAGATCAGACTCTCATAATGAAAATTGGATTCAGTAGATAAAGGGATAAAGTGAAGTGCCAAAAAATTAAAAACATTTACTAGAGGCTATTTGCAGTAAGATGAATTTTACAAGATGAAGTCAGTTTTATATTATCCAGGCATATCCATAAACAAATTTTGTTTCTTGAGTGTAGCTGCTAGGAATTCAGTCCCATAGATACTCAATGGAATTTAAATCTGGCATGTATTAGAACCAATGGAATATCTGACACCAGTTTTACATCACCAAGTTTGTTTTTCTGAAAAAAAGACTATAATCACCATGAAACATGACAAACATAATAAAAGGTGCAAATGGTCAAAAATAAGTCCTATGTATATCTCACGTTTCAAGAAAGACTCTAGTTTTACTGGGATTCTTTCAATGTCCAAGAAAACACAACCCACACAATTAGAGCCTCCAGCCTGTTGAAAGCTGGATCTATAATGACATACGGACTCCTCCTCACATGAAGTGAACAAACTGGAAACATGATTCATCTGACCAGGTTACATGGCACCAGTCTCCCACTTTTGAATGGTGATATTCTCTGACCCCGGTAAGATGAAGTTAACTAAAGAAATGATGTCAATAATTATACTCTTGTTGGTCATTGATTTAAAAACCATAGAAAACAGGATATGCAGTACAGGGCATTGATCAATTAGTTGAACAGCACCAGTGTTGAATTGGAGTTTGATTTAATACAATATTCTCCTTCAGTGAGGGGTTATTGTCCTTGTCACTCTTGTTGTTGATGTCTCACCAGAATTTATATATTCCTGGTATACCTCTGCATTTGTAGCCCATGAAAAGCTTAGAACAGTTGCCACCTTAGAAATAGAGAACCCACTATTTCTTGGTCCAACAATCATTCTACAGCCAGACAGTGTTAAACTTGCTTATATCCCATCTGTCACAACTACACTACCTCTTTAACTATTATATCACATATGACATCATCTGGTGTAGTCCATTTCTGAAAGTGCAGGTAGATGAAGCCATCTAGTATAATGCTGTTTAATTTTTTGACACTTTTCACGTGTAGTTGTCTAATGACATTTCAGAGCTTTGATTCCAGAATTGAGCAACCTGACAAAATTTGAAAAACAACGCAAGGGAATGATTCATATCCTATGAAATATTATTTTTTAAAATTCAGCACCAACTTTACTATTTTTTAAATGAATAAGTCAAAAGCAATTGTAGTCTTGATTCTCCAATTTAGTTGTGACCTATATATTATGAATACTAATAAAATATTTTCATACCAAACCAGCTGTGTCAAATATTCTAACTTTTTCCTTTACTCCTCGATCTGTTTCTATAACAGCAGTGTAGATATCCTCTATAGTAGGCATGGTAGGCTAAAATAAAATAGAAAAATATTAAAATATTATTCATAACAGAAAAAAATGTCATACTAGAAAATGTATTTATTTTTTAACATAATTTTCTTTTGTCAATGCACATAATTCAATGTATTTCCACCCATTCCATAGATCAAACATTAAACAGTGAACATTTCAGATCAAAATTCAAGTAATCACTGTGACAGGCAACATACTGATTATCTCAAGAAGAATTTGTTTTGAGTACATTTTGCTATGGATTTCTAATTTTATTTAAAACTCTTTGATATATTTCCATGTACCTGTCATCAGTAGTATTTAGGTGGTTGCTATATTTCAAAGTCTTTGGAAATTGGCAGTACACATTTAAAACATGGCATTATGTGATACTAAACTAAGTAAATACGAATTAAGTATTTAAAAACTAGTTTCTGAATATTCATCATAATATTTTCTTTTTAATATGGCCAAAATGTTTTATTTGATTTAAAAACAAGTTCCTACAAATATGAATATCACATATAAACATATATCAATGCCAGAGTTTAATAATAAAAATTAGCAAAAAAAAAGTAAATAAATAAAAAAGGTTGAGCTGATTGTGAGAACAAATTATCACTTGGCAACTGTCAGAGACTTAACAGTTTCCTTTGAATGAATGATTAGAAATAAATTTGTTTAGTTAAATCCAGCTGGGGTAGATTATGTTCCATTTTGCACTAATACTCTTGGAGAAAGGCATAAATCGTTTTTTCAAGTCATGTCCAAGGTCGTTCACTGCAGCTGAGATCATGTAACACAGTACAACTTATTGGAAGTTATTTACTTAGAGAAGAGATGAGCATCACCAAGTAGCTCTGTTTCTTAGTATGATGCCCAATGATCTATTAGTTCATGGAATCATTTGAATCTATTCAAAACAAGATGAAGTGCTACTCAAAAGTTCAGGAAACAAAGTATAAAATGGCTTTCTCAAAAACAATAAAAAATTATAAAATGAGGTGGAATGATTTCAAGAGATGTGTAAATGTCTAAGGAGATATTGCACACAAATTGATCAATCTGTTCAAATTCCTTGAGCTTTTAGGTAATACGTCATACAGTAGGACTTTACAGAACTGCCAAAAGAACAGATGGAATTATGACATGAGGTGTGACAATTTAATTCCCAGAATGATCATAGCATGTTGCTGATGTAATGAACCAGGTAAATATTTGTATCCAAGCATATCTGGACATGTTCCAACTTACACTTTCTTGAGATGCAAACTAGATGAGTTGTTCATTGTCGAACAATAGAGGAAGTTATTTGTGTTCATGTTATACTTTTGGCAAAAAATGAGTGAAAGACATCTGGAGCAGCAGATTAACATTCAGTTTTGTTTGAAGACTGGTACAAGTGTTAGTTAAAAGTTAGCCCTATTAAAAATGGCTTATGGTGAATGTGTTATGAAGAAATTAAATGGCACAGGTGGTTCAAGGAAGGGCATGATGCAGGCAATAATGCAAGTAGTAGGCAATCAAAAATAATAAAAAAAAACAAACAATAATAGTGAATAGGGAAAGTACAGCAGAATCTAAAAAAAATATTTTGGAATGAGAAAAAGGATGCATTAGGAGTCCACAAATACTTGACTAAGAAACACTTTACAAAAATGGGCCATCCACTTTATTCACCACACTTAACACCCTGTGATTTTTGGCAATTTATAAAATTGAAAAATGTCCGGAAAGGACAATTTTGCTGATATCCAGCAACACAAGACTGTGTTACTGAAAGGTATTTTGAAAAACAAATTCCAAGAATGTTTCCAGTTGTGGCATCATCATACCAATGAAGTGCAGAACCACCCAAGGGGAGTACTTTGATGGTGACAGCAACCAGATAAGCAAACACTGCTTTCACAGGGCCATTTTGGGAATTAAATTGTCATACTTCATACTGGAAAATGTTCATATTGATTCAAAATGGCAGAAAATAATAAAATGCAAAAATTTGCAATTTTCTTTTTAATCCAACACTATGATGCTCTAAGGTTAAAAAAGAAAGAAACAAAAAGACAAGAAAATTCTAAATTGTAAGTACCAATAATTTACTACTTGAATTATTGTGAATATTTTTATGATGAACATTTCAAATCAGCATAAATGGAACTATTTGTTCTTAATTATATTTCCACAGCTAGAAATTATTATCCAACAATTTGGCAACAGTATAGTACATGGAGATAAAACACAGGTCTTTTTGCCATTATAAGGGTTTAATTTGGTAAAAAATATACTTACTGTTCCCACAACATGGTTCCCATATACTAAATGTTCTATGATAGCTGTTTTGCCAACCCCACAATGACCACATACGAGGACTTTGCTGATTTTCCCCATCTTTTTTCAAGACTTATCTCTGTTCATATTAATTACCTGTAAGATGACAAAGAAAAATTGATAGATACAAGAATATGAAGTCTAAGAATAAATTTACCAGAAATCATGTTTTATATTTTAAGAATTACAATCATCTGGTTAGAGACAGCACTGGCAAAGGACATTTTATCACCAACTCTTTTGATTATGGAGTGAATGTATGCATGAATTAAATTCTATTCTGTCATGCAAAAGTATAATCTCTATTCAAATTAATTTCCATGCTCTTTTTCTTCCATCTTTCTTTTCTATTTTCCTTTTTTATTTCATGTCTTCTTTCTTTACTGCACTCTTTTCCAGTTCTGTCACTCTTCTCTTTCCTTCTCTTTTTTCAATTTCTGGAAATTTTTAATGAACCAAAGATTAGAAAAAGATTCTCCTGAAAAATAATTGTTGTCATCAAATACAAACTTTGTTATTATCAGTAGAAGAATATATTTACAAGAGTAGATGTGCAAGCAGTATAAAGATTATCATTATGCAAAGTGGAATCAGCATGTATTTACTGGTCAGTACTATTTTGTTTATTTCACACTAATGCCCTTGGACAAAGCATGAATCCACCTTTCCTCCATCTATGACTTAAATAGCAGGGCAAACTGGACTGTCTTGTCTTGGGTAGTAAACCATTTAGTAGAAGAAGGAAAAATCTGAATTCAAACTGAAGATTTTGTAACACACTGTGCACCATTTCTGTTATTAATTCTACCACAAGTTTTCATCACGATAGTCAAATCTACACTATTTACATTATTCGGACTATTGTCCTCATCTTTGTCACCATATTTATCACAATGTTTCAGCTGTTGTACGCTCTGGACTTCTTCAGGAGGTTGGAATGTTGAACTGAACCCTTTATTTCAGTCACTGATGACGGCCAGAGCGTACAATGGCTGAAACATTGTGATAAATATGGCAATAAAGATGAGGACAATAGTCTGAATAATGTAAATAGTGTACATAATACCTCATCTCAGAAATATAGACAGATAATCAAATCTGTGTGGATTGTCTACTGTTTTATTTCTAAACTGAACCATTAGGCCCACATTCATCATAATCAACAAGAGTCCATGCATATTAACAAGAAGTCAAGTAAAAAAAAAAAGTATTAAAAATAAAATTTGTTAAAATTGAATAGTTGCAGCCCTTTGTAACTCCTCTAGAAATAGTGGTTTATAACCATGGAATATTGGTCTTGAAAATACTTATTGCCAAAAGTAAAACAGTAATCTAATTTGCACTGAAGCATTAGTTGTTCTATGACAGTAAGTTTTTTTAGTTCGCTCTTACAGCTATTGGGGTGGATGTGTAACAGATAATGACTCAGAACAAGAAATTGGAGAGTTGAGTTCCAATTCCAGTTGGGTTTGATACATTAACTTATGTACAAATACCCTTGGGAAATAAATGAATCCATCTCATTTCTTTAGCTATGGGTTAAATAGTAGGACTTGTATCAGGAAAAATCATTATTGTTCTCATGAAAAAAAAAGTTGTTAATGCTATATTCACTTGCAAAAACAAAGAATTATTCTTACAATCCCAGATATGTTCCAGCTTTAAAAAACCCTCAAAGAGTCTATAAGCCATAAACAAACAAATCAATCAATACAGTTATTGAACAATTGGGAAAATGAAAATATGAGCTATGTGCTTAAATTAATTAAAATATTCTCTTTCAATACGGCAATGATGTAACAGTCCTTTAGTAGATTAGATAATTGTATATTTCCCACTGATGGCAGTGTAGGTGTTCAAACCCAGGCAAAAGCAGAAGATTAGTGAAATTTTCTATCTACAGTTTACTTTACATTTAACTAGTACTAAGCTAAACTTGGTAAATATCGAAACAGCAGATCAAACAGTAAAGCAGTAGAGAGTGCCTAAAGCAGTAAACTAGCAGAGATCAACTAAAATAAAGTGTGTTAATATGGATGAAATACAGTTGAAGAGGAAAACCAAATGTTAGTAGTGTTATTAGTCCAATATGTTCATATAATAAACTGAATGTTTTTAATTCCTGGATAGTAATAAATACAATTTGCATTTTAATTGCCTAAAAAAGTATATGATCATTGAATAAATTTGAATAGATCATCATAGGTTTATTAAAGGAATGAACACTATAAATAGAAATGTAACAATCATTTTTCTCAAAATTCTTTTCAAAATTGTGAAACGTTAGTTACAATTTAGTAAACTAAGATTATCTATCAATAAAAAGGTATATAATATAATCCATTTCCCAGTTTCAAAAAGAAATTATCTCTCCAAAAAGGGTGATATTCATCATTCATTATTGGATTACCAAAAGCAACTTTGTAAAAAATTTTTTCTCTTTTCTCAAAATAATATGCTGCAAATAACTGACTAGTTAAACAACAATTAAGATTATAAATTCATGATCATAATAATATTAAATTTTTTTTAATTAAGAGATTTGTAAAGGGATATGTATTATTTATAACTTTTAGGCGTCAACAATTTACAAACAATAAAGTTATAGCATATATTGTCTATTTAAGAAGAGTCTATAATATTCAAACATTAGTTTGGATAACTGAATTCCTGTGTTTTTTGATGATGTTTTCACAATGCTTTAACAAATCCATTCTACAGCCTTCTTCAAGTGTATAATCCCTAAAGAAAGGAAAGGAGAGGGACCTCTTTTTTTCATGACACAAAATAATTAGTATTATCAACATCAACAACACAAAGGAGTTTAGTTTTCCTAACAGACAAATAGCAAGACAAATGAACAGTCAACCTAAACTCCAATAGATTACTTTTTGAGTGATAAACTTGACCATGCAGGGAGGGATTGGTGGGGGGCGTCATCACTGTATAAGAATTTTGATATTAAAAGGTCAAACAAAACTGATTTCTTATAAATCTTTTGAATCAAGTGAAAATATTTTGAAAATACCTATAGAGTGTGAAACAAGCCAAATAAATGAGGTTTTTAGGCAAACCTATTATTTGGAACTGTCTTTTTATGTCCAACTTCAATAAAATGTATTTAATAAAAATTTTCTTGTAAATTTGATCCATGCAACCTAAGCTAACAGCAAATTTTTAAAATTAATTCAGTGAAAAATGGTCATGAAGTTAATGCAATCAAGCATAAACATTGTGTTATCTACAAAGGTATCTAGTCTCCTTGACTATATGTGAAATGTATTGTAATATAATCTAAATAAGGTCTAACAGAAATAGATTTATCATATGTCCCATTTTGTCTGGAACTGTCCCAGTTTCAGGGGGCTAAGCTATCAGTATTCATTTTTTGTGTCAGCTTTGCATCTTGAGATGTTGGACCATGAAAACACTTTCTTTTTACACATGAAACCTTAACTGATAATAAAATAACTATAAAAAATGTCCCTTTTTGTTTTGAGGCTTAGAAATTATGGTCTAGAAATGAAAAAAGTTTCATTCAGATTTTGTAACTAAAGATTTTTTCTTTATTTAATTTGTGCTCATTAACACTGTCACAACTACTTTGCTTCATTAAAAATGCTGGTTTCAGCAAGAACACAAGACAATGACAGTTTCTGAATAATGGATTGATCATTTAGTTCTGCCTATCCAAAAACTAAAAACATTATCAACAGCTGATCTAGAACAAATTCTGTAGTCGTTTGCTACTGAATAAATTTTGCCTTTTAAATTAAAAAGAAAAATATCTTTGTTGTAGTGAGGAAATTAAAGATATTTCCTTTATCTTTTGTGTGTGACAAATCAGCTACATTTTCTCAGCAAGAAAAGTACACCGGCCAGTTTTTTTTTACTGTCCAATACCTGCAAGTACAGAGTTTTTGACATTTAAAAATGCAGTTTTAGCAAAATTAAACAAAAAACAAAAAAAGCTGTTTCACTTTCCCTAGGCATAAATAAACACTTCCTTATTTTTACAAATGTCTTAGAAAATTAACCTCTCATCAATTACGCCTTTAAGGTAAAACAACAAAAAACAAAAAAAAAAAACGACTGTCGTAAGTGACTTGTGTATTGTAAATTTTACGTTGACACACACCGGCTTTAATTCCCAGGAATAGAAGATGCAGTACAACTAGTAGTAAAAAGAAGGAAATCACATGATGATGATGATAAACTTGAGCTTCTAGAAAACTTGATCAAAAGATCAATGGTTGTAGGTAGATAAAATAAAATAAACATTCATAAATCAATTTTTAATGTTTATTCGAAATAAAAAAATAAATTCTGTCTTTGAAGCTCAGCAAGAATCGTTTTTTTAGGTTCACGAATTTTATCGCTCAACCCATAGGAATAACACTTTCTTTACACTTTTTACAGTTTCTAAAACTTTGCGTAATTAAGAAAAGGATTTGTTAAAGGTCAACAAAACAGGGCATGAATTATTATTGAACTGAAAGAAAGTGATTATGATCTACTTGAAGAATTAATGCCAGTCAATCCTTGAATCCAATGGATGAATTTTTTTAGGGTGTAAATGTAAATTGTAAAGTAAACAATAGATTAATAAATTTAATTGCTTTTTTTAGCAAGCAATAACCGTTTCGTTTGTATTTTTTTTTTAAATTTCGTTAGCAACTCAAAATTCCTTTATAGAAAATTAAAGAAACAACCAAGTTATTTAAAATAACTAAAAGTTTTTTTTTTGTTATTTTTATTTTCTATATTTGAAGTTTGTTAATGTTTATGTACAATAAATTTTTAAAAGATCTAAAAGAGGAATAGTTAACTTAAATAAAATCATTAGAGTTAAAAACTTTACACTACAGATGAAAAATGAGATTTCATTATCCTAAAAATAAACAAAACATCCCATATAACAAGCTTCCATTAAATTCCTTTTCTTTTGTAATTTGTTGGACTTTTCTTTTACTTATTTCAATTTCAGGAAAAGCCGTTTTTCGAGAAACAAAGAAATACGATGTATTTTTTTAAAGTACTACTGATTTTAAAATAAGAAACTAATAAAACAAAAATGTGAAGTAAGGTGATATTTTTACAATGTTTCAAAGAATGAAACTAAAATATTTCTTAGTAATGATTGATCAATCAATCAACAACAACAACAAAAAAACAAGAGAAAGAATGGGCCAGTGATTTTTTTAATCCTTCACACGTCGAAATGTTATCAAGTATTTTAAAAAAAATGATAAATTGCTTGGCCGATATATTAAAAAAAAGAGAAAACAAATGAAAATAGGCAACAACAATAAATCGATGTCATTTACGCGTACGTACATCATGGGTTGTATAATTTGATCCCAGTTTTATATAAATGAAGGAAATAGAGTTGCTCCGTGATAAGAAACTCAAAATATTGCAGTGTTTATCTCATGGCTACATTTAAATGATTATCTCTCCTTTTTACGAAAGAGTTAACCAGAGTTTTCTCCCTTGAGAAGGAATTGACATAGCGACCTCTAAGAGTTGGAGGACAACAAGAATGAGGAATGATACCACTTCAAAATAGAGGGTTTTTTAATGTGAATTTTACTATTTCACAATAGTTAGCAAGTTATTCTTCCAAGCCATTATTACTGTAGTTAGTTTGATCCCCACTTATACCAGACTAAGCTAAATTTAGTTACTATTGTAGTGAAGCTGATCGTCATTGGGTGACCCACACGTATGTGCTTGTGTCAAACTAAGTCGAGCTTGGTAAAGGGCAATGAATGCATCTACATGTATGTAGATACTGTGGTGGAAAATAAAACAGAAAAGCTTAGGAATATTGTGAGGTATTGCTGAAAGTGTTCTGGATAAATATGTTATAAAATCATTACAAAAATAGCCATTTTGTTTCAACACCTCTGGTGTCTTCTCAAGTGATGGTGTTGAATGTAGAATAAAGGAGTTTTAAAAAGGTTCAAATCATCCAAACACCCCTCGATAGGGGAAATGCTGTTACATAAGCTGCAAGGACCAATCAAAATAAAAGTATATGAAAATTTTAAAAACTTGACAATGAACCTTTGTTATAATTATTAATGCCTTAATGTTAGGGTTAGACTAAAATAGAAATCATTCTAATTAATATTAAATTATACGATAAAATTGAAAATTAAAAATTACCCATTTTAAAATTTAAATTTAATCTATATTAAGTTTAAAATTTTAAAATTACTGAGGAAAAAAGAAAAAAAATACATATGTTATTCTATTTATTTTGTTTTTATTGAAATTAAGTTGGAATAAATGTTAAGATCAAATGTTGCTCTGAACTTCATGACAACATAGATACATTTGAAGCATAAACAGAGGCAGGGGAGGATGAGATCTTGCAAAAGACAATACATACACAATCAGATTATAATACATAAACTTGCAGATATATAATTATTTTATTACTTAAATGTTATTTTTAGTGGATACCCGTATTTGAGTATACACTCTGTTTGTTTATTAAACACTAAACAATATATTTATTTTCGTCAAGGAATCTTATTAAAGAAGAAATATGCTCTCTGATGAAAATAAATATCTATTTTATTTTTATTTAATTTTATGATTTTTATTAATTTATTTTTTAATATTTATTTATTTATTCATATATTTATTTTATTAATTTTTAATTATCCTTTCACTGTTATGAATAGGAATATTTGTAAATAAATTATAAAAGGTTCTATTTAAAGTTTATTTTATTGAGTTAGAACAAAAGTGTGTAGTGTTTTTAAGTAAATTTCAAAGACAATATTTAGATATTTTTACATGGATTTATTAAACCACATGTACCATTTTGTTCCACTAACTTTTGCCATCTATGGCACCTTCAAGATTCCATTCTCCCAAAATTTGGCAGCTTTTTGGGTGATGAACTCATCTAAGTGATTTTTTCAGGCTTTCAGAGAATTTAAATTGTTTTTCTTTAGAGAATTTTGTAGTTATTGAAATTAAGTGATAATCTGAAGATGTATGGTCAGGTGAGTATAGCAAATGTAGTAGGACATCTTAGCCAAGTTGTATCAATTTTTGCTGCAAAGAGACATGAAGTCTGGAATTATTCTCATTGAAGACAACATCCTTCTGATTGGCTAATTCTGGACAATTTCATCATTTGCTGCCATTGATCTATTCATTTAAGAACAGTACTTATCTGAATTCAATGTCAGATTTTGTGGCAGGAGCTTGTAATGCACAATGCTTTCACAAACCAACTAGATACACAGCATCACTGGATACAGACTAGCTTTTCATTGTCCCCAGGACTTTCTTTTCATTTCCTGTTATTGTAAATAATATATCTTTCATCAACAATGTTCAAACTTTACAAAAATCAATCATTTCTGCTGTGTTTGAGCAGAGAATTGCAGATAAAAATGCACTGTATTAAATTTTTTCTGTTAAATCGTGAGGCATCCAAAAAATCATAGTAATTTAAGTATTCATATGTTTTAAAATACCTTACAATGCTTATATGAGATATGTAGAGTATCTATGTGATGACCAGCATTTCTATTTGGTCATCATGAATGACTGCAGGCCTGCTGGAACATTCTCAGATCAAAATTTGAACCACTTACAAACAGTACTCTCAGATATGACACCATCTCCCTAAATGTTGCATATCTTTCTTGTTGCTTGTACAGCATTTAGTATTTCTCCCAGAAATAAAAAGTATCAAATAATGAAAGAATAACTTCTTTTCCTCTATTTTAACATAAAACCATTTAAAATTCACAATCCATACACAAATTGTTTAGAAAGCTGCATTGAAATGTCACCATTCAGAATATGTATGTCATAAATTTCTGTTACATGTGAAACAAAATTACGTTTAAATGCCACCTATTAAAAAACACTATGAACTTTTCTTCCAACCCAATATTTGGTATATTTAACCTCTCAAAATATTTAAGAATTTTCATTGCATTATTGTATTATTTCAGATTATAGTTATTAATTTATTAATAAAGTAGGTGTTTATTAATATGTCTACATTTCCTTAGAATTTCATTCTTTTTATTTAACAATTTATTTTGATTTTTTTTAAACTAATTATTTGTAATATTTTTTCTAAACATAGTCTACAATTTCTGCTATTAATATTGCAAGGAAGTACCATTTTATGATTTTCCATTTAATGTTAGTGAAGGCGAGTTTTGCTTTTGTTGCTCTATACATTTAGAAAGAGTAGATATCTTTTTCTCTTACCTCCTCTCCTTGCTCTTGTTGAGCATCACAACTCTTGTCCTCTTGGAAATTTGGATCTGGATATCTGTTGTTATTTATTTTAACTTGTTTATGAAACATGAGCAGACTTCATTCTATTGTCAGTTTTATACTGTATTGTTTCTGCTAGTTCAATACTTTTTTTCATTATTAAAAATAAAACTTTTCTTCTTCATATTCCTTCACACTTAGTAACCCCTTGCATATTAGTGGCTTTATTTTCATTATTAAGGTTGATTCTTACATAAAAAAATGCCTGGTTTATGTGTAATTCAATTTTTGAGTTATAGAAAATATTCAAAGCAATGCATAAAATGAAGAGGAGAAAAATGTTTTGAGCAAATTTTTATTTGATATTTATTAACTTTCTTTCTTTTGAGAAGCAGCAAGTGATTGATACATTTGTCTTAAATGTATTTTCCGACCATTTTTACAACCTGTAAAAAGAAAAGGAAAAATATTACAGAATAGCTTTCTAATTCAAATGTTACATAAGAAATGCCTATTTTATTCAGTGTGCATTAACTTTACATGTCCAACTGAGATTTAAAATTTTCTTCAGAATTGCCAATTGTATATCTTTCAATTTATTTCTTGCACAATCATGAAAAATTAATAAGTCCATGAAATAAAAAGCAAATTAAAATCATAAAAATCTGCTAAGATTTCTATTCAAACTTTTTTTTATAAAGTCTCTAAAGACAACAACTGAGAATTCTGGGGTTAAACATTTGAAATCTGCATTTTAATGTTGATTCAAGGATCTTCTTATCTTAATGAGATTTTCTGTACAAAATCCCAGATAATTCATACAGGAAACTAATTACATAATTGGCTTATTATATTTTATATAATATCTATTAAATTACACTTATTTAATAGATTCTGATCCCTTTGTATGGAGATTGATTTTTTATGGCTTATCAACCTCTTGCAGGTTATTTACAACTATTTTATAATTTGTCTTGCTTTCTAGTGTTTTGTTTACCTACTGTTTTATATATTTAAAAAAACATTAATTATTTGGAGCTTCTAAAACAAATAATATATATAATGTTTATAGTGATATATATAATGTTTATAGTGATTTACTAAGTGTAGCTTAGATGTGGCACAAAGCCAAAAGTATGGAGCACTCGTGAGGATTGAACTCACTACTCAGTTATAATAGAACTAGTGAGACAAGCTTGCAAACATTACACCACACCAAAGTGTTCCAGTTTTGACCTTTCTCCTTTTATCTAATGTTTATATATGTACATTATATATTTTGTATAGCTGGGGGTGATAGTGGGGACAAGCTCCCACTGTCTATAAAATGTTACCGTGGCATGTTTCTGAAATAACCTCTGACAACTAAGTCCAACTCCAAGCCAGAGAATGGATGAAGACAGACAACTGGCACCTGATAATCAACTGCTTTAAGTAGATGGAGCTTGATAGCCCAGAAACCTCAACTGCCTTACAGTCATATTCAAACATGAAAAAGGCTATGGCAGTAAATCCAAACAGAAAAAATTAGAGTGGAGCCCAACAGTTGCAGCTATTCTGGCCCCAAATGTAATGCCTTGTATTCCTTTCGATCTTTTTAGTACGGCCAAGGGGTGGGGGCAAGTAGTTTGGGCAGTGCACAGCCTCCATATACCATCACCCAAGTCTATGCCCAGGAGAGGTCACTCCAATATCACTACCACCAAAGGACTGAAATTTGATCAAACAGGGTGCTACCTTTATCTAGTGAGATAATTGAATGCCCATTTATAGTGCAAGCCAAAATATTCAATGAAAGCAAATAAAATATATCCCTTGCAGTTATATAGATTTTTTCAAAATTAACTAAACTCACCTAAAAATGAATTCATGATGGTAGGGGAATTTCCATTGATTAGCATGTTTCCTTCATCGGCAAATACTGGACCATCATCCCATAATAGATCAAAGCCACCAACCCTCTTTTCTTTACCAGTCAATCTGTATTATTGAATAAATTGCATAAAATATAGTCAAGAAATTAAATATAATGATTTATGTGTTATTTAATAATATCTCATTTTTAACAGTATCTTATAGCAAATTATTTTCAAATTTCTTAGGCATTTATTCAAATAACAGAGATGGTTGCTATTAATTTATTGTTTCAACTGTGCAAAAGTCATACTTGTGATGTTAAACCTTTTTTGTTGAAGATGATACCAAATAACAAATTTGGGCATTGATTTTGAATTTTAGTCAGAAAGCCATGTTATTTGTTTTTGAATCTATGAAGGCAAATGGCATTATTATTTTTGTCAACTACTAACTGGTTCATATTTTCTAAAATAATGATGCTTTTTTTAAACTTTGTAATTTGGATTATTTCCTATTTGTTTCTGTTTCTAATGAAGATCAGAGATTTTTTATTGTAATATTGCAAATAACTTTTGTATTAGATCTGTATAAATGTTGATATGCTCACATCACACAATCTAAGTTCCACTGTATTTGACATTTATACTACCTATAACTTAATATTTTATCAAAATGTTAGAAAATTTTAAGAGAGTGACCAAGAAACTCAGTAAGTTGAAAATTTAAGAATGACAATATACACTTAAAACAAAAGAAATTATATATATATATATATATATATATATATATATATATATATACATACACACACAGAGGGTAATTCTATTTTTAAGCATATTATCTATTAACTATTAACTGTTAAGTAAAGCTTATTTATTTATTTGTATTTTGGAATGGTTCTGAGACAACGGTAAAAAAATGAAATAGTTTTATTCAAATGAGCCTTCTTTACACTATCAGAAAATGTTTAAAACAATATTTCATATATTGTTTTATCATTTTATCTTTGTACCCTATACCAATAATTATAAATTCTTTCATTATATTATGCCTTATTGATAAATACCGAGTTCGATTTGCACAATTTACCTGTTTTCCAAGTCCAGAACATTCAGAACATCAGTCAACATACCAAATTTAAGATCATAATCCTCTTTTCCACTGGCTGTAAGTGATGGACAGGCATTAATTTCAATAAGCCACCTCAAAAAAACAAACCAAATTTAAAATAAGGATATAATAAAATTTGATTTAATAAGGATATAATAAAATAAAAAATAAATCAAATATAATAATCAATTGTATGACACATACACACATATATATGTCTGTGTGTGTGTATGGGAGAAAATGATATATACATATATGTATGTATTTATGTATACGCACTGCTAAGTAATTATAAGCTGCATCATTTATTTTTATTAGTTTGTTCTCATACTTTGACAATAAGATTTTGTTCTGAAATCATAAATTCTGGATACTTGACTTTTTGGTTGCTACATAATTTGATGTAGACACTCCAATGATTTATTTTGCATTCAATGTAGATGTGCCAAAACAGATTGTCATGTTAGATAACCCAAACATCAATTGTGTTAATGTTTTTCTATTTTAGTTACTATTTCTCTTATTATTATTGCTGCCTGACTTGAACTTACAAAAAGCTTTTTCTTTCTTCACCATTTGTGAATGGACACTTTGTAACTGATTACTTAGTTTGTCTTGTGTTTACACATTTTGTGTATTGGTTTCAGTTTCAGGTGCACAAATTTGTTCAGGTAACTGTTCTCTCCTACATCTTGGTATCTTTGACCTTAAGTGGCAATGTTTTTTTTAAACCTGTTTTTTTTTTGTGGGAGTGATACTTGTAGCATTACAAAACTTAATTATCTGCCCTTTAATTTATAATCTATGTACATGTCAAAGGATGAAAAATGTGTCACTTGAGAGTCTATCAGGGGAAAAAAATGTAAGCTGTCTGCTTGTTGGTGATAAACTCTCAAAATAATTGCACATCTTTTTTAGACCTCAGTTTCTCTTGCCATTCGTGGCCTAGCTACATCACTGATGCAGTGTACAACCAAGTCAACTAAGACCTTAATTCATATTTGATAATGTGTATCTGGTTCACTGCATGAACAAAATATTGTTGCATTCAAGTTCTGTTAATAAGTAGATAAAGCATACTACATGCAAGTCAATATCTATTTTCACAGTGTTACCATATTGCAGGTGGACTCTCTTGTCATATTCGACGGATGAGGGTCAAGCAGCTCAGTTCCTAGGAACGAACAGCCAGACACCAGCACATATGATTTGATTATAGTGGTGAAGGCTTTGTGTAGAACCAACCATGCTTTTTGAAGGGCCAAATACAGATACCTGGTGCACTAAGTACTACAAGGTCCCCAAACGACCATCCACAGGTTTTGAATTCAGAGGTGTCTTTCTCCCAGACTAGTTGCCATCAAAGGCTATAGAATCCAGTCTGTCCTGCTATTTACTCATAGCTGGAGGGAGAAGAGTATTAATACCTTTCTGAAGGGTATTAGCACATAAGTGAATGTAATAGATTTGACTGGAATTTTAACTCATGTGACACTATTTAGCGGTCGCGTGAAAATTAAAAGCGAGAAATAATTAAGGCGAGAAGAAGCTGAAATAATTAAGGCGATAAGGAGCTATCACAAAAAGACGTACTGAGCGATGTTATTTTTTTAACAAAGAAAAGGGGTAAAGATTTTATTTTCATTTGCGAAGAAAAGTATTTTTTTCGCAGAAGAAAGGAAATTCGTAAGATCTCGGATCTGTCGAAACAGAAGCTGGGAGATAATGCTAATCAGGTTACGTACTGACTGAGAAAAACATCAGCTGGGCCACCCAAGGAAAAGGGAAGAATAAACCATTAACTATCTTTCGGAGATATCACTTGGTTTTGGGAAAAACACCTGTTTTATGTTATACCTGGCCATGATAAGAGTTTGTTACCAGGAATGGATAATTGGATACAGAGTGTGGAGGCATCCAGTTAACCACGCACTTGACGCTGGCAAAAATCTCGTTGATAAAGTCCAGGTGACATTCGGTTAAGATAGAGATTAAGGACCACACTACGAGTCGTAGGGGTTTCGTGTTGGAAAAAAAAGAAAGATAATTTTTCTTTTGCCTTTGAGCAATAATGGTAAACATATGAGAAGGAGGGGTGGCCTATTGATGCCTCTGAGGAGATTGGTGTGAGATACCACTGTGAGAGAGAAGGGAGACCTGTTGACGCATCTGAGGGGATTGGTGTGAGATGCCACTATGAGAAAGAAGGGAAACCTGTTGACGCCCTCTGAGGGGATTGGTGTGAGATACCAATATGAGAAAGGAAGAATTTGGGAGGACGATACCCTTAAGAACCCCTCTGAAGCAAAAAAAAAAAAGCAATGGACTACCAAAAATGGAAAGTGATAAATTTTCCTGTCTGAAAACAAAGAAAATCCTTATTGTGGATTTAGAATTATCGAGGAACCCCAAACCACGACAAGCCCACACCCGGTTTTGATTGGCGTCCATTTAAACAGAGTCGCAGTGAGTAGAGTTAGAGAGTTCGATAGAGTTCCGAAGAGACGCAGACGCAGTTGAGCTGTGAGCTCTGAGACCAGCCTCGCAGGAAGCTGACTGAAGATCCACACATCCCGACTTCGACTTCTAACCAAGAACAATTTAGACTCACACCACCAAAACAAGTTTTGCGAATATCGCCTGAAGACACCAAAAACCAGTTATTGAAAAACTACTTAAGATATTAAGACTCGCCTAACAAACACAATGTGTCATGAATCCATATAAGCGGGTTGGGAGAAAGATGCAGTCCTGTATTCAGCAACCAGATATAAAAATATTTGCTATTCTTTTTTTAATACATTTGAACTTTTCGAGTTGTTACTTTATTTTCTTTTACATATACTTGTGCGGTGTTACCTTTGCTTGCACTTGGCTTGCATTGTGGCCCGGCGACTCATTGCTTTCGTCTACCTAAGATCAAATCACAACGTGGATAGGTTAGACTAAAAGACAAAGCAGTTACTTCGGTAACCAGACGTTGGAGGCGAGCTGGGAACGACAAAGCTGATACCGAATCTAACCAGATTCCTATCCGAATCGGCCAAGAGTTAGAACATCCCATTTGGTGCCGCGACTAATACCAAGTCACATTGGTCGTCTCAGGACGGCAACGGGCGCAGAGAGGCTGGGGTGACGTCACACTCAGCTCTCCGATTCCTCAATCTGAGCCACTATCCACTACTCCCTTCGCATATTGCAGGTATGGTATTGCTATATTGGGATGGTAAGATAAAAAATATATTTCCACCAGCCATTCCAATAATAATACTAAACAATGAGAATTGTTTACAGACAAAAGTTGGCATAATAGTTACTCTTACCAACAGCACATTTAGTTTTAATAAAAGTTAAAAAATTGGAAAGAGATGCAAAAATATAGGAAAAGATATATATATATATGTTATGGACTAATTGCCACAACACAAAATTTAAAAAGGAAAGTTAAAAAAGCAACTAGTTGTCAAAGGAGATGACCAAGGTTTACAATTCCATAGTGGAAGGATTCTCTTACAGGTTCAAATACACAACAGTAATGAGCAACAAACATCAATATATATAATTTAATAAGATTTAATTATAACAAGACAATACATAAAAACATTAATACAAGATAGTGTGTGGAAAGATGTTTGCTATACATTTCTGTGTGGAAAGATGTATGCGTTATATATCTGATATGAATAGTTAAAGCCCACTTATCTTTAGTCATCTGCTTAAAATAAAATACAGTTTTCTCTTTTTTGTTTTATATTTCTCTTTTGTTCAAATTCATGGTTTGGTTAGGAAGATTCAGCACTGTATAAGTCTTAGCTTGCATCCAATTGAGTGTGTCACACATGCCTGTGACACTCATTATCATGCTTAGTAATTCACCTGTGCATTTCATATATGCAATATAGTGTGTTGAGTTGTTGAACTGGAACTCACCCTCAATGTGCGATTTCCTTTGCTTGACGGTAACAAATAAAAAGAGATGTTACTTGCTCAAGACTTCCAATTCATTTCGTTATTTTCCTGCTTGACATTTCATATTTAATCACGTGATTTTTAGGTCTCACTTGGACCTGTTGGTAGGTCATCAGCCTGCCTGACATAATTGTTCTTGTAGTCAGTGACTACTATTACAGATTGAAAGAGGGAGGATAAGTGGATATACTATATTATAGTGAGGTGGAAAGAGAGATAGTTCACTAAGAGTAAACTGTGTGTGATTAGGGGTTTTGATTGTGTAAGGATTTAGCTATATATATATATATATATATATATATATATATATATATATATAACAATGTATTTCTCATTATCAGCCACTTAATTTTTCTCAAATTTTGAATTTATTGATCTATCCTTGTATTTAAATTAACTATTGTAATTTTTCTGACTCATATGATTAGATACCAAAGAAATGATAAATCATTGAAAAAATACTTACACTTTTAACTGATCATCCAACAGAATGTCATAGCCAAATGTTTCAAAACAGTGTTTATCATTAATAATGATCTTTTGTACACTTTGAAGGCTTTTTATAATGGTACAGTCAATTTGGCAGAATATGTCTGATACCTGAAAAGAATTATATATCTGAGTCAAAAGTTTTAAGCCTCAAAAGAGAAAAAGTCTGAAATTAATTAAAATATGTTCATAATATGTTAGAAAAAATATTTAGAGCCACTGGAAATAAGAGCAACCAAGTCATAATTATAATGTAAATTGTATAAGTTGAGGTAAAGAGAAAAATATAGTATACTCTTTAACCAAAAACCAAAACCAAGAGAAAGTGTTTCATTATGTGAATAATACCATCTTACCAAAGAATAAGATGAATTATATTTTCCATGGTACTAAACTGACAACTTACTCTATGGTATGAAACTGATAACTTGCTAAGACAAATTATTTGGTCCATAACAACAAAATTTTATTTCTGAACACTGATACAGTTTATCAAGAAATTTACAAACTGATCTTCACTCTATCATCACTTTTCAAATGGTTCTACTCTAGTAACAAATGTGTTTTTATAAGATAATTGTTATTGATATTTACTAAGTTCAGCTTAGTTTAATACAGTTTCAAAGCTTGTAGTAAACATGATGTGAAAGTGGAAGTTGATGCTTCTATAGTTGGAATACAAGTGAGGAAAATTCTTTTTCTTCACAGGAGGACTGTGCAAAATTTCTGTAATATTATGCTTCAAATTAAACCTCTTTCTGATTCACTCTATACCAAAACCTGTTGGCTGGATGCGAACAATGCAAAAGCAAAATAAAAAATAAAAGTCATTCTCTGTGCAGAGACTCTAAGCATTGCATCTGACTCAAAACATATTAGTTTTCTTTGAAAGAATGTGATCAAACAGTTTTTACACAGAGACAAGTTCCATTCTTTAAAAGGTTTCATTATTAACTTCATTTAATAAATATCAAAATAAACTTCAAAACTATCTTATATATTTTTAAATAACCACCCCAATATCTACCCATGAATCAACTGATAATTTTTAAAGATTATCATTACTATTATTTGAATTTATTTGATGAAGCACTGTTAGTTATTATGAATGTTTTATCAGTGCTTCTTTCATCTTATTTCTCTTGCATTATATCTCTTTATATCTGATAACTCTGAAACAATTGCTATACGGTCTTTAGTAAGTAACATGGATCAAAAAACAAAGACGAGATAATATTCAAATACTGCTACTACTACTAGGAGTTTATTGAATGTAAAGAACAAAAGCTACAAAGTGATTTGAGCTTTTGGTCTTCATGGCACAAGCAGTAAAACAGAAACTCTGCACAAGAACACCTCAAGGAAAATGAGACTGTGAATGTGATTTATTATTTATTTTTGATCTGCACTGCTTACTAACAACCATAAAATAATGGCCAGAGAATTGTGATAAAAAAATAGAAACAGAATGAAAGAAATACTTGTCAAACATTAATAGAAATTGGGTAGTGAAAAAAAGAAAATTTTCAGTTCAGCTAAGAAGCAAAATTCTAATATTTGTTCTGTTGATTAGATTTCTGGGAAGTGGATTGGGTTAAAAACTTTCCAGCACCACCTCTTATTCTTTGTTATTGTTAAAGAAAATAAAAGCATATATATTTAAGATTATTTTTTTTTTTTAAATAATCCAATATGATACTTACAACTTTTAATCCATGCTTAGCATTAAGATATTGTCTCAGCTGTTGGATAGACCATTTGCAGCCTTTTTCTGGATCATAATCTGGAGCTGTTTTCTGAATAGCCACATTTGTTAGATGGATATCTTTTAGAGCAGATTAAGGAAAATTCTGTCTCAAACCAGATTATTTAAAAATTAAGGTATTTTAATTTAGTAAGGTGGGGTAATGGATAGCAGCTCAGATTGAGGAATTGAAGAACCGAGTTCAAATTCCAGTCAAATCCATTACATTTACTTACGTGCTGATACCCTTGGGAAAGGTATGAATCCTCTTCTTCTCCCACCAGCTATGAGTAAATAGCAGGACAGACTGAGTTCTACAGCCTTGGATGGCCACTGGTCTACTTCAGAAAGAAATGGCAAACTACTGCGGGGAAAAAAAATCTGCCTTGTCAGTTATATATTGAAAGATTCATGATTGCCTAAGTGTATATCATGCATGCCACGTAACTGACTGAAAACATTAATAAAACAAATAACACTAGACTATTCTAAACAACAATGATTTTATGAATAAACTTGTATAAAAGTTTCCAGTAAGATTTTTAAATTGTAGAGAATATTTATTTTCAACAAAAATTCAGTAGCATAAAATTTAAATTAATATTTTTCAAAACAATTTTGGTTTTCTGCAAAGTAATGTTAGTAAAATGAAGATATACTAAAGTAAAATCTACATTCTGTACATTTTCAATAAAATATTTGTGAGGGAAAAATGGGTTGGCTATGAGTGGACTGGAATATCATTCACAGAGACTCAGACATTGGCATGCAAACAAGACATATGTGGGAGCTGGTTGACTGCACAGTGATCCTACAAACATACCTAGACATCAGACTGGCTGACTGGTGGTGAGGGTGGTGGTGATGATGATAATGATGGCCCTTAACACAACCACATGCACATATTCATTGCATATTTTACATCTTTTATACTTGGAATCAAAGTGAGTTAAGGATACAGCTGTCACTAATTGCATCTAATGAATAACGTGTATTGGAAAACCTTGCAAATCCGCTTCTATAAATCCAAACTTTCAAGGGTGAGATCTGATGTAAAAAATGAATTAATAAATAAGATAAGTGATTATGAAAGATAGGAATTGTATATTTCAAATTCATCAGGATTTCATTAAAAATAATCAATTTGTAATTCAGTTCACTTTTATACTTGATTGTTACATAACAGAATTTAATTTAATGTACTTACCAGAGTACATATGAAGGTGAATCAATAAATCTATAGCTTGACATGTAATGATTATCTGAATTTTGGTCTGAAATTTTCCATGTATAAAGTTTGATAAAGGGAGTACGTTGAAAAAAAATATTTGTTGTGTAAAATAAATACTTTTTCCTCATTAAGTTATACCTACATATTAGTATGAACATTTTTTACTATTTCATTTTGTATTAAAAAAATATATATAAAAAATAGTATTACGTGAAAAGATATTTTATTTGCAGAATAAGATTTAATCATTTAGATGAAAATCTTTTAATTAATATATTGAACATTTCACATGAAACATCTGGATAATATATTGTAGCAATCATCATCACTATCACACATACATACATACAGATCATACAGCAAGCATTCATTGGCTAATCTCCTCAAAACTAGCTTGCTGATTGGTTAATTCCGACCAATCAAATTGCATGCACGCGAGGAATAATTTTCCCACAAAAACAAGGCTGGAGCCT